CAGTGTCTGCTGCAGGTCTCAGCTCCTCCCCGGGGCCTGGAGGGACGAGGCCTGCCTTCCGGAAGGGAGCGGAGAATCCCCCAATTCAGTGTTTGAAGAAAACGAGCCATTTATGAGAAAACAAGAGCCGCAGACCAGCACACGTGTGACCGAGACCCCAGCGATGACGGTTCCTGACATTATCAGAGGCCGACGCTCCTCACGATGTGACTGCAATGCCATTTAGAAAGTCCAGGCAACAGAAAGAAGCCAGAGGAATGACCACATGGCTTTATTACACAGAACTTCTAGAGAAGGACACTGTCGAGTGCTGACCTATGAACCAGGAAGACACGTCCGATTCCCGGTCAGGGCACGTGCCCGGGTTTCAGGCTCCATCCCGGCCCTGGTTGGGGCACATTCAGGAGGCAACCAACCAACGTGATTCTCTCACATAGATGTCTCTCTCTCCCTCCCTCCCTCCCTCCCTCCCTCCCTCTCTAAAAATCAATGGAAAAAATATCCTCGGGTGAGGATTAACAACAACAACAAAAATAGTGCAAAGGACTAAAGGTGATGATGACCTCACAGGCAAAAATAAGTTCTTGAGAAATGTCACTGCACACGCGCAAGGTGACATCCCGGCCAAGATGGAAAGAAAGCCCTTGGGCGTGCAGCGTGCCTCACATTCCCACCTGCGTTTGTGTCACGTCTGTGTCTTTATGAAGACCTGGACCCCTGCCCCATACACGAGGCGATGCTGGCGCGTCCCTCTAAAATCCAGGATCCAACAAGGGCGCCCACAGCTCCAGCGGCACAGGGAGAGGCAGCGGCGTGGGCTGGAGCATGTGACGCTATCTGCACGCGATGCGGTTACTTACGGAGAAACGAAAAGACCATGCACACACGTCTTCAGAAGTAACAAGCCTTGAGGACTGTGGTGGCATAGAAAATTAACAGGCAGGGTGTCCCCCAAAATGTATACACACTTTGAATGCTTATAAAGTCAGCGTTTATTAACATACAGCTCATTTTCAAAATTTAAAAGCATCTCCAGAAATGAATAATTTTTTGGGGTCAACACCTGTTTTCAAACTGATGACCCTCTGGCCCAGGCGCTGCTGGTAACGCGAAGCAGTGGAATCAAAACATCAAGAATCATTTCGCTCGGAATTTGTGCGCCCTCCATGCGTCAGCTGTTGCCCGTTTTGTATCATAAACTTTATCTTTTATGTGTCCCCATAAAAAAGTTAGTGGGTAAATTTTCTTTGGCTTCACCCATTATTTCAAGTCAATTAAACCTGAAAAGGAGTGAAAATTAAGTGAGTTACCAGCTGTTAAAAGTGTGTGTACTACCCTGGCCAGTTGCTCAGTGGTTAGAGCGTCGGCCCGCGGACTGAAGGATTCGGGTTTGATTCTTGGTCAAGGGCGTCTTCCTGAGTTGCAGGCCTGATTCCGGCCCAGGTTGGGGCACGTGCAGGAGGCAGCCGATCGATGTGTCCCTCTCACATCGATGTTTCTCTCTCTCTTCCCTCCCTTCCACTCAGAGGAATCAATGGAAAAAATATCCTTGGGTGAGGATTAACAACAACAACAACAAGTGTGTATACATCTTTTTGTCCCCCAAAATACACACTTTGAATAATTATATAGGCAGCGTTTGTACTTCAACTGTGTTTTCAAATTTCCAGTAGTATTTTAGGATGAATTTCCTTTGTTCAAAGCTTAGCTGGGCTAGAAAGAAAGAAACGTCAGTTGAGCTGTTACAGGGTGTGCACATCAAGCATGTCAAACTCGCGGCCCGTGGGCCACAGGTGGCCCACAACGAATATTTTTGCGACCCAGACAATATAATGGCTTGTAAGAAACATTTTAATAAAAATTTCGTAACTTAATTTTTACAATACCCTGTTATACATAATCGTTAATAACAAAGTACAACGTTCGCTAATCACTGATGACTATAATCGTGTTGCATTCATTTCCCTTATGCGCCTTATGCGCAGGCGCACCATTTCTCTCCACTAACACTAGCAGCGAATATTTTAGCAGCCGATGGCCACGTCATTAGTCTTGTACTGACTTGTTTGGTGTGCGCAACAGGAAATATTTCGCTTTCGGAGAACAAGAAAAATAGGTCAGTGTCTGGCAAGTTAATGTTTAAGAAAAAATATTAATGTTTATTAAAATGTCCTAGCCCTAACTGGTTTGGCTCAGTGGATAGAGCATCAGCCTGCGGATTCAAGGGTCCCAGGTTCGATTCCAGTCAAGGGCATGTACTTTGGTTGCGGGCACATCCCCAGTAGGGGGTGTGCTGGAGGCAGCTGATTGATGTTTCTCTCTCATCAATGTTTCTAACTCTCTATCCCTCGCCCTTTCTCTCTGTAAAAATCAATAAAATATCTTTAAAAAATAAATAAATAAAATAAAATGTCCTATTATTTTATGTTAACAATGACTCATTTATTTCAGTCCTTTGTATTCAGCATGTCTCTATCAAAATAAACCTATGTTTCTATGAAAATTGAAGCTTTTGTTTTTTTGCAGCCCACATAAACTTAAACCTTGTTTATTTGGCCCGTGTTAGCCTTTGGGTTTGACATGCTTGGTGTACATGTTTTGGGACACGCTGCATATGAGTCAGTTGCATTTAACTACCAACAGCAGCAGCGAGGGAATTTAGAGAAGTGACAACACGTGCAATAGTTCAGCGCATCAAGTAACCAAGAACAGATCTAATAAGAGACGTCTACTCCATTGGGAAAGTGAAACAATTTGAAGGCCTAAGTAAATGGAGACATATATCATGTTCTGGGAAGGGAAACACAATTTCATTAGTTAATGTCCCCATGGCGAATCGATGGATTCAGTGCGAATCCAAACAAAGTCTCAGTAGGGTTTTTGTGAAACTTGATTAAAACTGATTGTGACATTTACACAGAGGGAAGGAGGCCAAGAAGGACAGGGTCCTTACACGGATGAACAGGGGGGCGGCTCGGGCACTGAGGTGCCTAACAGGAGACGAGAGTTCCCCAGTGGAGTGGGGGGGACCCTCCAGAACAGACCTGCACATGGACAAAAGTGGAGTGGGTGGGGGTGGGTTTCAATAAATAACGGGAAAAATCTTGCCGTTCTGGACGAAGGTAAAATGGGATCCCTACCTCACACCGTACAGGGCTGGACAGAAGTAGGTTTACAGTGTGAGTATGTGAAACAGAGCTAAACAGCTGCTGTAAGATCATGACGCGCCCGCCTTGCTCCACACGAACAACTGTCCACCTCCTCTTGCCCACCCCTGTATACAAAAATCGACTCCAGACCCATGAGGACTCATGTCAAGAGCAGAATTTGAAAGTATTAGTAAAATTTAGACCTTTGGGTCACACACATTCTCTGGGCCGCTGCTGTGTGCTGGGCACCATGGGGAGGAGTGGGGTGCCCACATGGCCTGGCTACCCCGAGTGCCAGCTGCCTTGGGCTCTGAGCCCAGCTCCAGCATGGGCCCCAGGCCACGTGGGGTTGGCTCCTTCAGAAAACTGAACCCAAGCCCTGCCCGGTGTGGCTCAGTGGACAGAGTGTTGGCCTGCGGACCAAAGGGTCCCGGGTTTGATTCCTGTCAAGGGCATGTACCTCGGTTGGGGCATGTGCACGAGGCAACCAACTGATGTGTTTCTCTCACATGGATGTTTCTGTCTCTCCCCCTCCCTTCCACTCTCTCTAAAAATCAATGGAAAAATATCCTTGGGTGAAGATTAACCAAAAAAAAAAAGAAAGAAAAAGAAAACGGAGCCTGAGAGCCCAGTGATGGTTCAGATCTCGACCCCAGTCCCCACTCACACTACACCCCCGAGACGGTTCGTCACCCCCCGCATCCTGTGGAGGAGACCCCACGCTCGGCCGCCCCTGAAACTGATGTGACAGAACCCCCACTTCCTGACAACCCGGCCAGGCCCGGGACGGGGCCAGGACACCCCAACCCCGGCTGGGAGCTCAGGCCAGCGGCAGCATCAC